TGCAACAAAATTTTCTGGGTGTCCTTGAGTGTTTTTCTCCAGAGACCGATACGATTCCACTACGAATAAAACAACATTGCATGGTCTATAGTTATTAAATGAAGAAAGAATTTCTGAGAGACTGAACTGCATCAGACGAATGATAACACTGTTTTTTTTTTTCTCCTTCTTCTTTTTTACACCAAGTAAATGATCACACAGTTGAATTGAAGGGTAATATTATACTCACTAAAACGAACATATTGCTGCTCAAATGATATTACACGAGGTGGAAGGAGGCCACGGAGGCCTACTCTATCTCTTTCTAACAAAGGAAACCCCGTATGCTGCACTTGAAAAACCCATGGAATATATATATATATAAAGAAAAGCAAAGCTTCCATGAGCTACAATTTCATTGCATTTACAGGCAGATGACTGTAGCTATGAAAAGCTAAGGTCTACCTTGAACTCGTTTTATCTTACCTTTTTTCTTTTTCTTTTTTTCTTTTTTTTTTTTTTGTTTGATAAAAATACGACATACTAACCTTGTTGAACCAAGGATCGTGAAGAATATCAGCACCACGCTTGTGTATAATACACGCACCAGGAATCGCAGTCGAGAAAAGCCTCAATCGGCGGCGGAAGCTCGATGCCGCAAATCGCGCCAGATTCCTCCACATTACGTGCCCTAGAACTCAAGATCCAAAGCAGCCGGAAAACTGCTGTTTAAAATAAAAGAAGAAGAAGAAGAAAACGGAGGTAAAACAATACTCCAAATCCACTCCTTCAATAATTGTCCTTTTCCAGCATTCCAACCAACATTTTTTTTCCCCGAGAAAATGCAATCAATCCTTTAAGGGTGAATTAGCTCTATGCTATCCATAGTAAAACTCTCTTGATCTCTTCCTGCCTTATTTACATTAATTGTGAGAGATTGAAAGCGAAAAACTGGAGACAGTTGAAGCTGTTGAGAGTGAAGGAGGAGGAGTGCTGCAGCTGCCCAGGGGTTCGGAGAATACGTGGCGAATGGTCGTGGGCGAAGAGTAATGAGAACAGCCGGAACCAGAATTGCCCGAATAAAACAGGGGCATTGGGAGGGGGAGGAAAAAGTCAGGTTCCGTTCCATTGGGGTTACTAAAAATAGGAAATTCCCGCTTTTGACTTCTGCTTAGCGGAGATTTGTGGGCTCCCCACTCCTCCATGAGTCCATCGATTTTTTTGGTTAAAAGTGGTTTTTTTGGACATCTCATTATAAACTTGTTGTACGTATAGTTTCATGAATAAATATAATTTTTTTATTTTATCCAAAAAAATATATCGAATTAAACAAAATAACAAATTATTGAAGTACATAATAGAGAACTTAGGCCCCTTATAGTTTTCTTCTTCTTTTGGCAGTTAAGCTACTCAATGCATCTTCCATCTAATTGTGCACCACCATGTTCAAAACTTTACACGCTCAAACTCCACCTAACAAACTAAATTTCACATTTTTTAAGAAACATCATACTTATAACAGCAATTTATATCCAAACTGCTAATCTGTCAACAAGCATTGCTCACAAAGATGCTCCATTTTTGTGCTTAATTTTTAAGAGATAAAATGAATAAACACTAATCTCATTATTTAATTATAAATATATTAATTTCTTTAGTTAATATTTTTAAAAATAAGATTTTTTTTAAACTTATACATTTAAGATATAGATTAAAAAATTAATTAATATATTTTTTATCATTAAATTACATAAAAATAATAAAATTTAGTCAGCGTCGTTTACGTCGCCACATAAAACGCTGCGTTTTAGAATGTTGCGCCTGTAAATGATCATCAATGAAATACAAATTGAATTTTCTTTTTGAACTTTCTGTGTTTTGATTTCTTTATGAAATGCCATTTACAACCGATCCATGACGGCCTGAATGCTAGTCGGGGGCATTTGTATTTCATAGTCAGAGGTGAAATTCTTGGATTTATGAAAGACGTACAACTACGAAAGCATTTGCCAAGGATGTTTTCATTAATCAAGAACGGGCAGGGGATCCACTGGCCGTCGGACCTTGTGGTGTGATTGCCACAGAACCTTGAAACAATTCAATTTTACAGCTACTTAGAACTCGAAGATTTCAGAAAAATAGAAAGTAAGAGGAGATAGATTGAGCTTACGAGGAGTTCTTTAGAGGCGCGTTTGCACAAAATCTGCATGTATATAAGGCAAGCCAACTCAAGTTATCAAAATGACAATTCTGCATTGATATTAAGCTTTGAAAAACTTAAGAATGCATTTGTGCATCAGATTAAATAAAGTGTACAACAAAACAGAAAATTATTGACCTCGAGCTGGCAATACGTGATACTAAAATCGGCAAAACCATGTAAGGCATAAGCATACTGCTAACAATCAACAACAAGGAATTAAAAAGTGAACATTTTAGACCTCAAGCTCGGCAGCTTTCATAGCGATTGGGATGCAAATTAGGAAGACACCAAAAATGGCAATCACGGTGTTGCGACGCCAGTGCTCGGGCCGGCAGTATGGACCACCGACATGCTCCAGACCCTCGTCCTAAAATCCTCAGCTCCATGTCCATGTCCATGCTCAGCTCCTCCCATCTCTGCTAATTTACTCGATCGATTGACTGAGATCTCCTCGTTTGACTGCAAACACGAGTTTTCCAATCCAGAAAAATGGAAGAAACAATAATGCGCTAAAAACAAAACCCTAATCTTCCCGATCGCATCTGTTCATAGATGGAAGCAGAATACCGATTAAGGTAGACTAACGCGACACGAGGCAGAGAGATTAACGCTTGTGTTCTCACCGGAGAGAATTGCGAGGATGAGGCCGTCGCATGCAAGAGGTGAGGACTGAGTTTTTGCGGATTTGGAAGCCTCCGGTGGGCTATAAGGCCCAGGGTTTGGAAAGTCCATTTCACTTGAAAGATGAAATTTTTTTTATCTATGATTGTGGGCCTTAAAACAGAGCACAAAGTCCTATTATAAATCAAAAAAAAAATTGATAATTATCCAGGTTACCACAGAGCGTTCCTTAATGTGACAATCCCCGATAATCTGAAGTTCTGAACACATAATTTGTAGTTAGTAAATTATTTAATAAAATATTAAAATAAGGTTAATTCATTAATTATTTTATAATTTAATCTTAAATATTTTTCTTAAAAAAATATTTATCCATTACTAAGGAAAATCGCCCATTTGCACCCGCTTGGACACTTGAGCTTCCTCTAGTGACACGTAATAAGTATCACCCCTTCGGTTTTGCTGATCAATCAATCAACAGGTTTTTGTGTTTTTCTGGCCGTAATAAATCAAAATCAACCATTGAATGGGGTAACAATTTTTTTATTTTATTTAGTATTTATAACGTTACACTTGCAATATTACAGGCAAACTTATAACTAAACGACTAGACATACCAATGGCAAAATAACAAAGAAAATGAAAATAAAGATGAAGATATCATCTCTGCTGCGGAAAAGTTAACAAAGAAAAGAAGAGGTATTAGTTGCTTCAGCAAAAGGAAATATCACAGAAATCACACATAAATGTTGTTAATTTTCTTTGAAAGGTACTTAAATGAAAAACTAAGGAGAAGAATTGAATGAGATATATTACATAAACATCCTATTGCCTTTTAGTCAATCTATTATGGCCCAGCAGTAGGTGCAAAACATAATTGAGGTTGATTTCTTTCATAAAATTAAAGATCAGAAAGATATTTTGTAATCTGAAGTAAAACACTTTGATGACGAAGGGTTTTTGATAATAAGTGAAGGTTACTCCATCCAATGAGGTACTTTATCATTTGAATTGAAAAATATTCATATATCAGACATATTAAAAATTAATAAAAAAAACTTATTTTTTTAGAGAGATTATGTTAGAGACAAAGTGTTAGTTCTATATATTCTTTTGAGTTTTGAATTACATATATTTTTATGAATATTTTTAAGTATTTTACTAATTATTTTAAATTATTAGGCATAATGTAAAAATTTTATGAGTATTTAAACAAGAAAAGCATTTAATTTAAACCAATTGATAATGGATAGAATAATAAATTTTATAATTAAAAGTAGCATGCTTTTTTTTATATATATTTTTAGTTTTGCCAACTAAGCAACAAATATTAATCTTTGTACTGGGAAAAGGGAAAAGGGAAATGTGAAAAATATTATCTCATTTCAATAAATTTTCATTAAAAAGATTAAAAATCATATTTTTAGAACATTAATTAGATTTTTTTGATCTTAATTTTCTTTTGGTCCTTTATTTAATACAACATAGTTTTAATGTAATGTTCATCTTAATTTTAAGCAGTACAACAGATATAAACGCTAATCTCCTTTGAAAATTATACTTATAATTTATCAACAAAATAAGAAGGCACTGTGGAAACGTTCCACTAATTTACCATTTAGAAAATAATAGAAGGAAAAACAAAGGAACAGGAAATTCCATTGCCCAGAAACTTACCTCCAGCAAAAAGAGACATCATGGAAATTTCTATTTATTTACATTAGAAAAAGAGCAAAAGAGGTGACGGAAAATAGGGTAGGAAATTCACTTTAATTTGTAAAGAATAGAAAAGGTCAACTGGAACTTTCAAAGAAAAAGCAAATAGGAAAATATCACAGAACAGAAATAATTGCATTGACTAAGCAGAAATCCATATGCGCGTATGGCTACAGTGGTGTCTCTGCTCTATAAAAACAGGGCTGCGTTTCAATCCCTCCTCATCTGTGCTCAGTTCTCTCACAAACACCATCTCTGTTTGTCTCTCAGGATTCTCTTGCGTTTGCTATCTTTCTGTGTGGCTAAGCATTTTAGGATCAGATCTGGTAAGTGATTACCTTCTATTTGCAGATTCTTCATCAACATTTCAACCTATTTTTAGTCCAGTGGCTGCTCCAATCTCTGCTCTCTCAACACTATTCCCCTTTTCTTTTGCAGAGTTTAATTGTGCTAGCCATTTCTCTCTGATTCTCTAAGCATAATGGCTGAACTCGCCCTCAACTTCGTCAGCCCAATCATAGAGATTGCAGTTCCTAAAGCAATTTCATTTTCTGCTGCACAAATCAGCACGGCATGGGGTCTGGAGAAGGAGCTGGGGGAGCTTGCTCAAAAACTGACTATGATCCAAGGATTGCTTCAAGATGCTGAAAAGAGGCAAGAAAGCGATCCAGCTACAAGGAATTGGTTACAGCACCTCACAGATGTAGCTGATGATGCGGTGGATGTACTGGATGAGTACGAGTATGAGGTTCTTAAGCACAAAGTTCAGACTCAAGGCCGAAAGTGGAAACAGGTGCGCACCTTTTTTGGTGTTTTCAATTGCACTGCCTTTCGTCTTAGCATGGCTGATAAGATTAGGAAGATTAATGAGACTCTGGATAAAATCAACAACCAAGGGGTTTTGCTTCTGCCAGTCA